TCATATTGCAGCACAAAAGGCACTTGCAGTGCAGACAAACTGCCTAGCTGTATGGGTCCCCCAAGAGCAAGTTAAACCAAACTATTCCCTGGAAGACTTAAAGCAAATTTAGGTGCTTGAAGCATGCCAGGAAGATAGCTGGTGGATCCTGCCAGACCAGCAAATCTTTATTCCAGGATATATGGCATGGGATGCAATGCAACAGGTCCATAGATAACTGCACCTGGGAAAGACGGCGTTGGCAGATGCCCTGAAGCGAGAGGTCTGTATTGACAAAATACACAGCATTGCAGCAAATGTTTGTGCTATGTGTGAGATTTGTGCAGCCAACAACTCAAGGCAAGGACCTCAACTTCCTCAACCCAGGGGAAATTACCCCTTTGATTCTCTGATGATTGACTTTACTGACATGCCATGTTCAGGTCCCTATAGAGCAGTGGTTCTCAACCTGTGGGTCGGGACCCCATTTGAGGTCGAACGACCATTTCATGGGGGTTGCCAAACAATGCAGTCCGCCATTTTTTCCCCTTTTCCTTAGCTGAGCTACTCCCTTTTATTCTATTGGCTTTTGAAAGCCAATAGAATAGACTCTCTTGAATAGAATCTAATTCTATTGGCTTTCAAAAGCCAATAGGAATTGTCCAAGCTGTCCTGCTGAGCTCACCAAAAGTCCCATTCTGCAAACGGTGCTGCAAGTTGTCTGCAGCGAAGGTGAGCTGTCTGGAAGTTTCCACCCCTCCCTGCTGAGCAACTACTAAAAATGTAAGGCCAGGGGTGGGAGGTGGGAGGCCGGCAGGTGCAGGGAGGGTTGCTGGCAAGCGTGGGGCCCGGTGGGTGCCTTACCTCCCTTGGGCTGGGCCAGCTGGTGTCCCAGCCGGTGGTCGGCCTGCTCCGTCTCTGCCGCTTGCCAGCTACACCTCGGCCGGCGCAGGGGGTGGCACCACGCGTGTGCGGCACTCCCAGGCAAGGAAAGTCCTCGACTTACAACCAGTTGGGTAGTCCTCAACTTACAACCGGTAAGGTAGTCCTCGACGTACGACCGGTTGGGGTTGCGGCATTAAAAAGGTTGAGTACCACTGCTATAGAGCAGTGCTAGTCATAATATGTACATACACTGGATGGCCGAAGTGCATCCCTACAAGGACAAAAAAAAAAACCAACTGAGGTTGCAGAAGCCTTGCTCCACATTATTATTCCCAGGTATGGGTTGCCATCTAGGATGTCCTCAGACAGTGGTCCTGAATTTATCCATAGGTAGCTACCCAAAAGATAGCAGCTATGTTAGGAATAACTTGGAAACTTCATTGTAGTTTCCATGCTCAGTCAGGGGGAAGGGTGAATAGAACCATTAAGGAAAACTTGGAAAACATATGTCAGGAAACCAGCTTAAGTGGCCAGATGCTTTAAACCTGGCCCTGGTTGCAGTACGGTATGCCCCACAAGGAGGGTTACTTGTATCACCATTTGAATTATTGTATGGCAGAGTCCCTAATCTACTCAGGCCAATTGTCCAGAACACTGGACCAGTGGCAGACACTGTCAAATTGAAACAACTGCAAGCCCTCAATACAGTAGTACAGAGGCTACAACAATATGTCTTGACCCAAAGGCCCCATGTTCTGGTCACACATACACATGATATACATCCAGGACAAGAGGTTTGGGTAAAGGACTGGAAGAGGGAAGTTTTAAGCCCCAAGTGGAAAGGGCCGTATACTGTTGTTATGTGTTCTCCCCTTGCTATTAAGGTGGCTGAAATCAGATCGTGGATCCATTGGTCCGAGTTGAATTGGCTGCCCCTGCCCAGTGGAAAGTGAAGAGTGACCGAACACACCCTCTTAGGCTAACTCTACACCGCAAAGGAAGGAGCCTCTCTCCTTCTGGTGATACTCCGGAAGCTGTCCCCCTGTGAACGGGAGAGGTGAAGACAACCCCTGCAGGTGTTACTCCGGAAGCTAACACCCAGCGCATGGGTAACAAGACCCCCCCCTGCCCTGGAAGCTGCAATCGCGCAGCTAGTGTTAAGTTTCTCTAAGTATGGAACCCAGCCAAAGGATGGGAGAAACTGTCTGTATTAGAAAGGGCCTCATGCCAACTATTTGGATAGTAATGGTGCTATTGCTGATTAGTATTGTTATTAATTCCCTGTTAGCCAAGGAGGGAGGATTGTGTGGAAAGTGTAACCTTACCAATTGCTGTCTACAAATTGATGAGACTGGGAAGGTTATTAAACAATTAACCACTGAAATGAGACAACTAACCCACAACGCTGACCAAGAATGGAAAGGTTTTGACTTTGCCCAAACATTTAGCTCTTGGTTTCCAAAGCTTCCTGGCTTACAAGCTATTGTGGCCCTTATTGGCTTAATAGTAGCTGGATGTGTAATTTTACCATGTATTTTACCAATCTTTGTACGTGCAATTTCTAATAGCCTTTCTATGCTTGTGGAAAAAAGGGCCATAGCCCAGGTTATGGCCTTATGGGATGAGGGGGAATATGTAGATGAAGACCCCCAATATATGAAACTCCCCAATAATCCTGAGATTTAAGTGAAGTTTCAAAGGGGGGAAATGTGGCAAGTAGAAAATGCCATTAAGGGAGATGGAAAAATACTATAAACAGCATTTTAATTAACAGAGGTGATGTTTTGAAAGCATTAACTAATATTATAAACTGGCTGAGCGTGATGACCTGTGTGCAATTCTATGAAGAAACATTTTTACAAGAAGTGCCAACTGAAAGTCACAAATGGTGTAAGATATTACGCGTGTAGGGGAGTATGGTTTTCTGCACATTGTATAAACTTCCCTTTTTCCTATGTGTGTAGTCTCAAAATATGAACTTCTCTCTTTTAGTATGTTAAAGGTAGATAAGAAGTCATCCCTTGGGTAAAAGCATGGGTGACAAGCTGTATAAAAATGACACCCTGGGAGTAACTCAGGGTTCAGAATTTGTCATATGAATACTCTGAACCTTTGCGCAAATAAAACCTGCTTTCTCCAACCCTTCATGGTCTTGTCTTCTGATGTAAGTATCGTGGTTTTTCCCCTACACTTTAATTTCACAACAAATGGGCAGACTTAACTATTGTTTCAATTGGGAAACTCTGACCATCCTAGATCCAGCCAAGTCCAAAAACTCCAGGGAATTTCTAGAAGCCTGGGATTCTGAAAAGTTAGCCATATATAGACAAATAGATATAAACAATACCTATAGACTATGCAAAAGAGACAATCAACAAGCCAAAAAAGCTAACAAAACACCAAAATATCTCCTCATCAGCAATCAGCATCCAGATGAGCATAGATTAACATCAAGATTAACATCAGACCAACATTCAAGTAAACCATATCCCAATCAAGGATCTGTGAAATAAGCCAACAATAAACAGTTCAACCAAAGAACCTCTAAGACCACCCCAGGGCAGGCCACTAGAAATATAAACTGAGAGCAAACTCCATTTCTTACTAGCACTGATGATGTTACCTAGTTTGGGTAATGAAACATCTGCAAGAAAACAACAAAGCCAAGGGAGTATCAAGAACCCTTTATTTAACTCTGAGCTACAAATATTCTCCTTTATTGGTAGTAAATAATTTCTTTGTTTTCTCCTGGTACTTATTCATATAGATTTTTCTAGTTCAAGTGTCCAAAATCTAATATCAACTGTTAGAATTCAGGTGAGCATTTTCTGCTGATGCAAGAAAAAGTAAATTGGTATCTGTGCTACTTCCTCCCCAAAATCAAATAGTATGTAAAAGGATTCACAATTGAATTTGCCTGATTACTTCACATTGGCACTTTTTAAAATTGACTAAGAATGGTTAGTCTTTTCTGGATTTGGAAAAGAGTTAAACTTTCCTTGTTTTAGCTTTGGAAGTGTGCAGAATATATCTGAGGAAGTTATCTGAATTTTCATTCAAATGTATTATTTCTGTTTCTTGAATGATCATGTACCAGTAACTTGTCTGAATCATTTCAGTTTTACCATAAAGTATAAATTGCAGGCTTGTATGTTAATGTTTTGAAAACCAGAGATGCACCTGGAAGCAGGTTGTTGGTCTGGGAAGGATTAGCTTGAAACTGGGGCTCAGATTAATTTGTTGAATGGGCTCAAGCCTGCGGGAAAATTGCAAAAGAATAAGGCATGGTTGAATGGAAAAAAACCATGAGTGTTTGCTTTCATGTAGGAATGTTTATCCCTCTTTTTTTTTTTTTAGCCTATGAAAGTTCAGAACTGCTTTTTTTTCCTGCACTGCAATCATTCTGGCAGGGGTAGTAACTTAAGCAATCTTTTCCATGTTGAAAAACAAGGTTGAGAACTGCAAAAAATATTTTTAAAGAAAAAAACATAAAAATAAGTACTTCAAAATATGATAACATATGTTATTGTTTCAAAGTGAATTTTGTTTAAGATTAGGTAATAATAATTGTTTTATATGATTGTAAAAGTTTGCTTGCAAGTATACTTGTTAAACAGAAAAAACCAAAAGACGCAAACTGCTGTACCTTGTATTATTATGTGTGTGTATCTTAGCTTTTGCTATTTGGGAAGCAGGAAAAAGATTAAAAATAGAAACTACAAATTTAGTAGTAAACAATAGATACTATGTTTAGGCAGGAATAGGCTCATATAGTTAAATCCTAAGAAATAGTAGTCTATTTCAATAAAGTAAACAATACTAAAAGCAAACCGTGAAATCATTCTTTAAATCTGTAGAATTTCTTCATAAAGAGCTTTGTGCTATTCTTAAGAATATAAAAAAATATGTCCTAAAAAAAAGAAGAAAACTAAAATAAGGGGGTTTTGTGCCCCAAATTTAATTTTTTTCACTTCAGGTAGTGTTTGGATAATGTCATGATATGATTTGCTCTCTAGCCATGAATGAACTCTCTGTAATCAGAACTTTTCTTTTCTTTTCTATGCTTCTTGAAGAAAAGCATAAAAAATTTTCCAGTATCTGGACTAATTCATAATTCATTCATTTTACAACCTTAGGGACTTCAACTCTCAGAATTCCCTAGTGAGCATCTTAAACTGTGACAACTGTGAGTAAAACTGTTTGTTTACTTCTATTACAGACATTTTGTGTGCTTTGAGGAGTTCTTCCATACCAGGAGAGGAAAAATGGGCACATAAAACTTACTATTCTCTAGCCATTTCTCTTCATCTTTGTTGTTATTCAAATGTTTTACATTCATTGAAATAGCAGAATTATATTATAATTACAAAGCAAGTAATTTTTTTGCTGCTTTTCAATAATACATTTTGGGCAAAGTTATTATTACAATATTATTTGGACACAAGGATGCCAAGTGAGAACACCATCCCCCTCCCCCACCCAAATAATACCTACTAGGTGATCTCAGTTGGTATTTCCTTTTATTTGAGATAATAGAGCAGCAATATACACAAAAGTCACTCAGACACAGAAACACTGAAACAGAAACACATAGATGCACAGATACACACAAACACACCTATTTTTAACTTCTGTTAGATGTACAGAGCCAACAAGGTAAAATGGGCAGCCATATAAATAAGAGTTATAATTCAGACAGTAGAATCAAGGAAATGTCAAAACTCTATTATCTTTTTCTTCCTTCCACTTTCAAATAGATAAAATGAGGACAAAAAAAAAGACAAAAAATATTCTCACTCTTTCCAGTTTAATATTTTGTTTGGTGATTTAAGATAGATCTGAAAAGGTTTGGGGCTATGTAAATTCTAACTCTTACTTTGAACTTCATAGCGCTGACATCTAAGTAAGCTATAAATTAAGATAAAAGATAAAAATATTAAGTAAGCTACAAATTAAGATAAAAGATAAAAAATAATAAAAAGGTAAAAAAGATAAAAGAAAAATACAGATAGTTTAATATTAAATTTTCTTTAATTTGCAAAATAATTTTAGTAATGGTTTTTTTATTTCTTTATTTGAAGTGTTTAAAATTATTTTAAAATAAATACAGATGCTTAAATATTCAGCATTCATTCCTATGTAATCTTACTTACTGGCAGAAAATTTAATGAATTCAAAATAGTTTTACTTTTTACTATTCTACTTTTTATAGCATAATTAATTTACATTTCCAACTATAGTATATGAAATGTTTCAAGAGTGGAAAAGTATCCCTATAACATCACCTATGAATAACCTAAAATTGCCACTGTTTTGAAGGTGTAAACAAATAGTGACTCCAAGTGAAAACATTTAATATGGCAGCAGGCACACAGAGTTATGTAAAAGATTTTCATTTGAGATGAGTATAGATTTTTCACATTGCATAGAGTGTTAAAATAAGCAACCTCTCACCTGAAGTTTAAAGTAATATTGCATAGCAAAAGTGACATAATGCACATTGGATATCTGTTAGGCACTGCAAAAATACACCCACATTAATGAGAACTAAAGTTCATTCTGCGTAAATACAGATTACAATCTCTTTTCTTGTGTGTTCAGCAATATTAGATAATGTAGAATTTAAAATTTCCTGCCTTAACTTTCTTTTAAGGAGATTAATGATAAGCCACTTATAAAGATTTCCAGATATTCCTGATTGTAGCCTATGAGGATTAGTAAGATATGATTTTGTCATTCAGTTAGTAGGCTATTATCTGCCTTTCAATTTGTAAAAAAAAAATCAGCTGTAAAATATTTAAAATACTGAAAGTATTAAAAAATGCAATCAGTTTGTTCTGATCAAGTAATTTAGAAATGTAGGGTTTTGTTATTTTTTTTTGAAGAAATTGCACTTAGCAAATAAAATAAAATGCTGTAAATCCTTACAGTGTGACAGCTTCTTATGTGTTCTGAAGGGAAAAGCAACACTTTTTAATTAGCTCCAAAGCTAATTGAATGTTAAATTGATTTATTGATAACAAATATTTATAAAGACTGGTTGTAGATCCCTTAAGGTATTGGAGATCACTTCTAGCACTAGAATATTTCGTTTTGTAACTGCTGTGGGCTGCTTGTGTTTTACACATACACATACACACACACACACACACACAGGGAGAGAGAGAGAGAGAGAGAGAGAGAGAGAGAGAGAGAGAGAGAGAGAGAGAGCGAGAGAGCGAGAGAGAGAGAGAGAGAAGTTAAATAGCTAAAATGAATATATAAATATAAATCCTATATTTGTTCTAAGCTGAATAGAAAATAATTCTTGATTATAAAACTTGCTAGCACATATTGTCACTTGCTGGGCAGAATTGCAGTCCAGAAAACCTCTGTTCTTTCCTGGATTATTTTGTATGGGTATCAGGCTGTCATTACACAGATGTGAAAATCGTGTTAGTCTTCTTGGAAACTAGTGGGTTATGTGAATAACAGAATTATTGAAAGAGCTAGCAGCAACAAATAATCCTAAAAATAGAAGATTCAAACTAGTATAGCAATATATTGCTGTGTGGTATATTACATTGTAGGGCTGTTGAATGGTTTTATATTTAATTAGAGATCAGTCTCTCATTGTCTCTTTCCTCGCTCTCTTTTTCTCTTCCAGGTGTCATACTTCAACAATCCTTTTTAGCCTTACATTTCTAAAACAAACAAAATGAACTGTTTACACAATCATCCTTGAAGATACAATTCATTGTGGCTTGGTTAGACTGATGTAAATGTCAAAGTTTAAATATTTGGATTGAGAGTCAAATGGATGATCAGTTTAGCTTCAGCTTTACAGAAAGTAAAAGGCACGAGTTGGCTTTCTGCCCAATCTCTTATTCACAGATGGCTTTTGACTTGTGGGAATGTGTCTACAGGGAATATATCAAGCTTCTTTTGTAAGTTTTAGTTTTAGTTTCTTCTACATCATTTGGATACAACTCCTTTTGAGTTAAATATCTTTTATATATAGCATTAAAGATGGAAACTCAAAAAAATGGGTATCCTTATTATATTCCTATGTGAGAGGGCAGGCTGCCTAGAAAATCTTTGCTTCTGTTGTCCTGCCTCTTTTAAGTCCTCTCTCTAACCAACAAAATAAAGCTGTGATGTAGTTTTGCCAAGGGTGTAGTTTTACCAAGGCATTAACAAACAATATTAATGCTTCACATGATTTTGATTTTATCCCTCTGTTAATGCAGCCTAGGACTGCATTGACTTTTTTTGATGGCTGCAGAAGACTGCTGGCTCATGTTTAAGTGGCCATTGAGTAGGATTCCTGGATATCTCTTGCAATTACTGCTATTGAGCCAGGTACACCTATTCTGTAGCTATGCAATTGTTTTTTCTTGCCTAGGTGTAAAACCTGACTTTTCTCACCATTGAATTTCATTTTGAGGGTGGGGTCACTCAAATTAAAAGATATTATTTTACCATAAGTCCACCAGTCCAGCTTCACCGCCATTTTTTTCTAAAAAAGGCTTCCTGGGGAGACACCCAAAGAGGCATTTTTGTAGAAAACCTTCTTTTATATTTATTCCAAACTCTTAGAATGGCACATCTAACAAAATGGTTGTTGAAATCAACATTTATTTTAACTTTGCCATACTATAAATAACCATGCCATCCAAACCTGAGTTCATGACCTTCTAAATCAGTGGTTCCCAACCTTTTCTATACCCCATATCCCTAGAATGCTTCTGATATATTCTCTTACCCCTTAAAAAAATTCAAAATAACAAATTATGCATATTCACTACAATTTTGAAACTTCTAAACACAGGTTTTCACACCCCTGGAATATCGTCTTGCACTCCCAGGGGGTGCGAGCACCCCTGGTTGGGAACCCCTGTTCTAAATCAAGGAGCCTCTTGTTCTGGAGGTTCACCCATTCTTTTAGCCAGACTAAACAACAAGCATCAAAATACAAATTTAAGTCTGGTAGACCCAAACCCCCCCTTTCTTTAGCATCTTGCCATAGTTTATATCTAATTCTAAGTTTTTTTTCCTTTGCTATATAAACTTGGAAATAATCTCTGCCATTGTTTAAATGGAATATTGGTTGCAAGTATTGGTAATGTCTAAACAGAAAAAGCATCTTTAGTAAAATAAAATTACAGAAATTCTAGCCAATAGTGATAAGTGCAACTTGTACCATAGAATTCTGTATATATCATTGCAAAGAGTCACAAAATTATTTTGAAATAGTTTTGTGTTTGTGTTTGTTAACATAATCCCCAAATATTTCATCTTTTTCTTGACCCTAAACCAGACTTTCTAGTCAATATATCACAGTCCTGAGAGGTTATATTCTTAATCAGCACTTTGTTTATTTTAAAATGCGCTATTTCTCATTTCCTCATCAAATATTCTCTGATATTGCAAGACCCAGCAAATGCCTTCAGTTTATAAACCTGATACTTATACATGTTATTTTCTCATCTTGCCTAATATCTCTGCTTAATTCTAACACTTAAACAACTGAATTTCACATAAATTGATTAAATTACATTGATAACAATTTTTGCTTGCTGTGACATATAGGCAACTTTGACTCCTTGAATAAAATTCTCTCTAAAATCCATTTCTTCTAGCACTTTAAACATAAAAGTCCGGCTTAGATTGTCAAAAGCCCTATCTCCATCTAAAAATATTAGAACTTCCTATTTCTCATTATGATATTGTAAGTATTCAATAATATTCACATTATTTCTTAACTGTCTTTCTGGCAGAAAGTCAGATTGATCTTCATGAATATATGCCTTCATTTTTTTAATAGCTTGTGATATTGCAAAGACAGTTATTGGGTCATTCAGTTGTCTCTGAATTTGTGAAAGTTTAGGCAACTGTTGTCTTAGCAGATATTCATCTATTTTAGACATATCTAACTGCTGCTTTTTATACAAATTGGAATAAAAATTATGAAAAGACTTTTTGATAAGCACATTGTCTGTTATTACATTGTTGCCTTCACAAATTTTCCCGATCATTGTCTTTTTCCTTTCCTCTTATTTTATATGGCAACCATCTTCCTGGTTTATTTGCAAACTCAAAGTGACTTTGTTTCACATAATTCAGCTTTCTTTCTATTTCTTGAACTGTTAACATAGACAATTATTGCTATAACAATTTAATTTAATGTGAAATTTTAGAGTTTGTAGCTGTCTTTTGCAGATCAATTTCTTTTTATCTAATTTCATCCAATATCTTTTCCTGGGATATTTTCTTTTCCACTGTATTGTATAAAATAACCCCTCATAACGGCTTTACTAGCATCCCACACAGTCATTAAACTTGTTCCTTTACCTAAATTATTATCCAAATATTCATTCAATTTCTTTTTACAGTCTTTTACAATTGTCTCCTTTTGCAAAATAGATTTATTTAATCTCCATCTGTAACTCAAACTCTTTCCTCTGAGTACCAAAAGAACTGCATTGTGATCAGAAAAAGATTTAGGTAAAATATCAACTTTTAAAAATTTATTTGCAAGGTTTTTAGAAATCCATATCATATCAATCCTTGAAAAAGATTGATGTCTTTCTGAAAAAAAATTCTTTAGCAAAATCTTTTTTTTTTTTTTTTGCCACCAATACTAAATTGTCCATCATCTCAAATAAGGTCTTTACTCTTGGAAGGTTTAATCCCCTTGATAGATATTCTGTCCAAAGCTGGCAAAGTCACTCCATTCCAATCCCCTAACTTAAACCAATTTTCATACAAAAAGGGTAGTAGAATACTTTAAGATATTCAAAGAATTTACTTTTATCATCATTTGGCCTATGCAAGCCAACTAATATTGATTTTATTCCTTTAAATTCAATTTCAACTACTACAAATCATTTGATAAAAGTAATTTAGGTTTAAACTGGGGTTTTATATAAGACAACTCCATTGATCTTTTTTTAGACCAGCAGATATAAATTCCTCCTCTAATTGTTTATTTATTAAATATTTAAGGACTATATATTGAATGTGGTTGGTCAACCATTTATTAATCTTAAGGTGACCAACTTTTTTACAATGAAAAGGAGGACACAAATAAATTGAAGAAAAAATATCGTAAATAAAAGAAACATTTTATTCATTGCAACAATAATACAGAATACATTATAATATGATAAATGCGTAATAAAAACATTTGTAACTATAACATTTTATATTGTTAATTATGTTTACATGCCTATTAATTATTATTTAAATGAGTACTTTTCCATTGAATGAATATTTTTTGTCAATGTATCATCTTCTAACACAGTGGTTCTCAACCTTTTTAATGCCGCGACCCCCAACCGGCCATAAGTCGAGGACTATTCAACCGGTCGTAGGTCGAGGACTACTCAACTGGTGCAGCACCATTTGCAGAATTGGACTTTTGGCGGGCTCAGCAGGGCAGAGACAGCCTGGACAATTCCTATTGGTTTTGAAAGCCAATAGAATTAGACTCTATTCAAGAGAATCTATTTTATTGGCTTTCAAAAGCCAATAGAATAAAAGGGAGTAGCACAGCTAAGGAAAAGGGGAAAAAATGGCAGACTGCATTGTTTGGCGACCTCCGTGAAATGGTCGTTCGACCCCAAATGGGGTCCCGACCCACAGGTTGAGAACCACTGTTTTAACAATATATTGGAAATATCTGAACAAGAAATATCCTTCATATTGAATTTTACAGCAAGTGTTCTCACTTTTCCAAAAATCATTAGCAATTGGAAAAATGGTTTCAACTGCTGCATTAGTTCCAGGGCAGGACAACATAAATTGAACAAGAATAAATACATTTTCACATGGAATATTTCATTTTTGAAAAGGCTGAATATTTCCTGTGATGTTTGTTTCAGACTATTCTTCGATATAATGAAAACCTGTTTGATAAAAATGTTGCACTTCTTTGATAAACTTTTCCATTATGCCTGGATTTGATTCCTCTAAGTCTGACAATTTTCTTTTTATAACTAAAGGAAAAAATTTTTCTTCAAATTGAGTTTTGTATTGAAGGATAAAATCATTCAAAATAAGACTAACTTCTGTAGCTGAAATGTGTTCATCTTCAATCTTTTGAATCGTTTTGTGAAAAATAGATGCTTGATTATGTACAAAATACATTAATATCTCAGATATTTCATTATTGAAAAACGATTCCAGGATTTTAGGACATTTGTATAAACTTAAAAAATATGAACGAAGAGGCTCAAATAATTGTAGAACACACTCTATAGCAGGTGTTAGAGCAGTGTTTCTCAACCTTGACAATTTTAAGGCATGTGGACTTCAACTCCCAGAATTCCACAGCCAGCATTGCTGGCTGTGGAATTCTGGGAGTTGAAGTCCACATGCCTTAAAATTGTCAAGGTTGAGAAACACTGTGTTAGAGCAAACCATCTAACTTTTGAATATCCTAAAAGTTTTTTGTATTGAACATTCGCTTCTTCACAAAATTGTTTTAAAGTAGCCACACGAATGATAAAACAACTAAAATACAAATAAATTGTAGTTATTATTACTTCTACATCAATTGGCATAGCACATGACACCGTGTTGATTGCATTTGACAAAATATGTGCATTACAACCTATTCCTAGTATTTTCTTTGGAGTAAATCTTGTAATTTTACATACATATTATTCACCCCTTTGCGTCTTCGCCCACCAAAATTGGTGTTTGTATTATCAGCTGTTAGTGCAACAACTTTGGATTTCAAATTGTTTTCATTTACTACTCTGTATAGATGGTTTGACAAAATTTCAGCAGTTTCACCCTCAATGGATTCTAAATTTAAATTTTTTTTTGAATGCCCTTGGTAACATTAAAATATCTTACTAGTATTGGATACAATTTAGTTTCATTATGATTGGATGCATCAGATAAAACTGTTACAAATGCTGCAGTTTCCAAGTGTTCT